CCCGCCCCCCGCGCCGCGCCCCCCCCCCCCCGGCGCCTGCCCCTGCTGCTGCTGCCCCCGCTGCTGCTGCTGCTGCTCCAGCCAGCATGTCATCACTGCAGCATGCAGGGTCAGTAGGAAGCAAAGTGTGTGTCAGCATATTATAAAGAGGCAGGGGGCGGGGGGAGGGGGGGGTACCGGAGGGCAGTGTGTAGGCACAGTCAGGTTGCAGGTTCATGATCAAGAGAACAGGAGTAACTGAGTCCTCCTGGTGACTGGTGGTCTGCAGTCTGCTCCTCAAGATGGGTTTGAATTATGCATCGTGTCTTTGAGGCCAGGCCTGGTTTCTGAATCTTAATAGAGCCATTAATGATGGCGATAGAGATTAATTTGAACTCTAATCTTTGCTTAAGCAAATTGGCTGATTTCACTTTAATATGTCGTAGCCTTGAATCAAGTTTGAGAGAACAAATGTTAAATGCTTTCGCTCCAAAGTGCAGCCCTCTTTGTCAGAAGACCTTGAACAAAATGGATTGAATTTAAAAAGTCAAGAACTCCTGTTGGGGAAAGTAATTTGTTTTGGAGCTTTTTGCAATCTTATTTTTCGCCCGTCTTTAACCCGCCTAACTGACCTGCCTCAGGGCAATTTATAAGAAAGTCCCGCAGCACAAACTTCTCAGAAACTCAAATGGAATCGTTCTGACTGCTGTATGTTACATGAGACGGCACGCTTTCACAGGGAACTGAAGAGTGTGGAGAACAAACCTTCACTGATTCAAGTTCAGCAGATTGTTGGTATTTTTACCAGTCAATAAAATATATATACCTTATACTATAGTATAGTATAGTGTAGTATTATATTGTAATATTGTACTGGGTAATATGATTCTATACTGAACTGTGCTGTACTGTACCATACCATAGTGTACTTTGATTTGCTATGCCTTAATACACTATGTTTGTACTATAATATACTGCATTATACTATACTATACTATACTATACTATACTATACTACATTGTGGGGCTCCCTCCATGAAGTGAAACTGCACCAGAAACCCTTACTGCTACTAACTCTAAATCCTACTCACTATTGTAATATTCTAGATTAGTTGAAGCTATTACTGGTTGACCTTTGCACTCCCTTCTCCACTTCATTATAAACTTAAGTTTCTTAAAAGGAGAAGTGGTCCCTTGGGTATTATTACATGATCTAATCTGGGCTACATTAAGAAGAACTGGGTCACACGTGTTCTACCTCCTGGACAAGTACGACAGTTTCACTGTTTTGTTAGTTTTTTTTTTGCTAATTCTGTTTGGTTTGAATTAAAGGTTTATTAGGTGTCTCAACCTCAACAATATAAAGTTGTGGTCAAAAGCCAAGAGAAAAACAAAATGGGATCTAAAACAGTCATTCCCCATGGATCTGTCCTTTTCAGGAACGGTGAAGACTTCCTTGTGTAGAGATGCAGACTTTCATGTACAAACTCAGAAATACTTCAGAGGAACAGAACGGCACCTGCAAAATATGACACGTCTCTGTGCCGTCGTGCATTTTCCCCTCAAATCTCGAACACCGAGGAACGGAGAGCTGGCTGGCGTATAAACAAGGTCGACTGCAGGGAGAGAGACTTGTTGTAATTCATCTGGAAATTGATCCTCTGCAAATGAAGCTGAGGGCAGATCGTCTGTCCACTGTGCAACTGAACAGTTTCCAGACCAAAGAGGTACGAGCCTTTCCAATAACAAGTATTGATTTAGTCCATTACTGTTATTGAAGAGTGAAGACTTACAGTTTGTTGTCCTCTGACATAAATATTACAGCCAATAATGGATATTGTCTGATTTTCTCTTTGGGGGAAAAGGCTGCGGCGGTGCCAGCGATGTGAGTGCAAATATGAGATAAGTGCACCTCTGGTTGACACAAAAGCCTTTTTCTTTCTGTCAGGGTATAAATCTGGACAACTGAGCAACCAGACAAGACACAATCTGTGGACCAATGAGACAAATATTCATTCATCCATCTAATCAGCTGCTGGTTGTCTTCTTCTTTTTTTTTCTTCTGCATCAAAAAAAATCATCCTTATTTCAAAAGAAAACAGTTTGCTGTCCAGGGAGAAAGGATTCAGCCCTCTGTAATCATATTTGTTTTTTTTTTAACTTGACTACCTCTAGTATACTTTAGGAGGAAGCATACAGAAGGGAATAGAGAGAGGTACTCTAGTACTGCGTAAGGATGTGACAGAGAGGTACGTGAGGACGGAGCAGGACAGGTATGAGCACAACAGGAGCAACATGTGTAGATAATGCAGTAATGGACGGGTGGAGGAGCAGCTTGGAGCTCCTTTGTACGTGCAGGAGTGATGGACAGGTTGACCAGGGCGGTCAGCTCTTTGAAAATGGCATTGTTGTACAGTAGTCTTTGGTGGGAGACTGTGGAGCAGTGGAGGTCTGGAGACATGGACCATGGACCAATGCCAGACAGTATCTATGACCAAAGATCAGCAAAGTCCAGACTAAGATTGAATATACACAGACACAGTTTATATATGAGTGTAAACACACACAGATGAATAAGAGTTAGAATGAAAGACAGTTTTACATTTGACCGAGGCAGAGAAACACAGATTCATTTGGTTCTGGCTGCATCTCAGATTCCCTCAGAAGACGGCAGGGAGAACAGGACTGAATTGCAGATGCACTGAACAGAACTCTGAGAGTTAAACAGCGAAGGCCTGAGGGAGCAGCTCCAGGGAGCTCATTTGAACATGTGGACACCAAGAGATCAGCAGCAGTGAAGTGAACGTCTGGGATGAAGCTGTGTGCTGTTGCCGTCACTTCACTGGGGCATAAACTGTATTGATGAAATATTTTAGAGCATAAATATTGACACATTTTTCAATGCGAGGAGTGAAAATGGATATTTCACCTGTGAGGAGGATAGGAATTAAATATTGAAGAGCGCGCACACACACACACACATGCCGCAGTGGCAATGCACTCACACACAAAGAAGGAAAGAGAGAAGGAGGTTTGGCTCAGCCTTAATATAAGCTGTGACTTTTAGAAATGTCAGGCACCTTGCCAAATAGACAAAGGGTGTCAATCACTCTGGAGCGAGCGGGCAGCCGTCCACGCACAACGGAGGACACACAATGCACCAGGGAGGCTGGACGAAGATGATGAAATGAAGGAAAATGACTCCTGGAACACTATTATGGCTTCTTAACTTCCAGAAAGTTAGCGCTGCCAAGGAGCGGGCGCTGGAGTCGCTGTCTGAAGCAGACACTTTAATGAAGCTCTGTGTGTTTCCGGGCTGAGGAGTTAGCTTCCCACTTAGTGGGCAGACTCTTCATAGGGTCAGTTTTTATGATGTTCGCAACATCAAACAGGCCACATGAAAAGATAGGAAGCAGGATATTTCCCTGTAGAGCGAAGACTAAACTGAGCTGCACTTTATGAACTCCACTTTTTGTGCTGAAAAAGCACCGGTTCCGACTGGGTTTCACCGCCACGCTGTGTTTTTAAATGCTGCTAGGCCACCGGGCCTCTTTAGGGCGGCATCAGTCACGCAGGAAGTCTGGCGTTAACCACGCTGAGTGGATTTTCATAACCTTAGGGAAGACTGGATGATGGTGTTACTTTGATTACTACAGGGTTTTGTGAGGCTAACACATCCAGATGAAATGAGTGAAATGAGTCCATGTGTTTTCAGTGTATGACTCTGTCTGTTGTTAATGACAGAATATCCAGCCCTTTGGGGAAGACTTTTACACTATACTTTAGCATACTTAACACCTATGATACTTAATGTGGTATTATAGGTGTGAGCTTGTTTTACATTATACAATTTCCACCATTAGGTTACTTTTCAAACTGCTGCCAAAAATCATATTATGAAGTGAAGCATGTTAGGTAACTTGATATGTTTTATATTGGACCACATTTACATTTACATCAGTGTTTCCTAAAGTGTGGTGCAGGGACCCCTTGGGCTGCATGAGCTGCCACTAATCAATAAATAATCATTTGTTTTAACACAATTTTAAATAAATAGCTAACGTTTTAAATACCTATACTAAATAAATGCAGCATAAATCAAGTGTAACATATATCAACTTTGCAGGATGTGGGGTGGTGATGGGACAGCCGTCTCTGGTGGACGGCTATCCTTGTAGCTAGTAGCCCTTGGGTGGACGGAGGTCAGAGACTCACAGGAACATGGACTGTTTACACTAGAGTCTGATGGTAGTCAGAATCCAATTATGACGTGAACAACCAAGAAAACAAAGAAGTTGGATCTGTGTAAAGCATCAGAATCATACTTGGACGTGTTGTCTCCACTGTCTGTGTTTTCTAGTCGTCTCTCTTTTTTTTTCTACTGACAAAATTGCAGGCTGAATAAAAAGTGCCATGTCTGCTCCGCCCTTCCTCTCTGCCAGTCTCTCCATGTAATCAGCCCTACCACATACACCTGTTCTCCAGTCCTCGCTCCCTCCTGTCTGATTACTTGATGTGTTCCACCTGTTTCCTGTGTTTCTCTGTGACTCTCCCACCATATCTCCGTTGATGTTTTAACCCTTTTAACCCTTGTATTTTAAAATCCTTGTTATTTTCTCATTGAGGGGAAGTTTGTAATTTTCACATTTTTAAAAAAGACTAAAAAGATGTGAGTCACTCCTGCACCTGTTCACCTTGAGTTTATCTTCAGGACACCATGAACATGGCTCCTCATCAAATCTATACAAATCACCGGATGCTCCGTGGTACCAATCAGGGTAAGGTCTCCCATCACGGAGATTTCTTCTTCTTCTTTTTTTTTTTTTTTACTGGTAATAATAGCCCTGTGTTCCGTCCAATCAATAGTCTGATTGAAGCAACACCTCATGTTGTCACTGGGTGGTGCTGGACATTGATTGGAAGACAAGACACAAATCAAGGCCGGTGTCAAATGTCATCTTTGATTTAAAAAAAAAAAACTTTTTACAAACATCTGTCATAACCGACTGTAACTGACTCAACATGTTACACAGTTTTCCTTTCCATGTGTATTTATGGTCAAAATGAATCCAAAAATACAAGGTGTGGACGCTGGAGTAACACTTTAACAACCAGGAGGTTTCAGAGGAAAGACACGGCACAGAATTGAAAAGATTAGAATATTCCTGGTTGATAAATGTGTATGGACAGAAGGGGAATATCTCAGCCCTTAACACACACACATGTACACACACACACACATGTACACACACACACATGTACACACACATGTACACACACACTCGTGGCAAAGAGGAAAAAAATCCTTCATATGCTCAATTACGCTCTGATCCACCCTGGTCATTATAATTCAGGTCATGTGTGAAGGAGCAGCTGTGGTGTGTGTGTGTGTGTGTGTGTGTGTACAGTCATTTTTGTTCCCAATTTAGGAATACTTCTGGCACGGTAGCTTTTTTTTTTTTTTTTTTTTTAAGCCTTAGTTAAAATTGGGGATTAGACTGTGGTGCAAACTCAGAGCAGAGTCGCCTGAACCCAAGCAGCTCAGACGTGTGTGTGTGTGTGTGTGTGTGTGTCAGTGGGTTGTACTTGTGTGTCTCTGTACATATGTAATGGTGTTTGTTTTCAGACATGATGGGGGGACATTGGTGTGACTGCAATTATTTCCTCTCTCTCTCTCTGTGTGTGTGTGTGTGTGTGTGTGTGGCAGCGCCTCCCTCTAATGAGCCCTCCTGTGCAGCATCTGTGGTCTGGGTCACCCTCACCCTTCATCTCCGTCCTCCTCCTGCCTTTTCATCACGTGTGTGTCATGTGTGTGTGTGTCGTGTGTGTGTGTGTGTGTGTCAGTGTCTCCACTCACAGCCAGAACGTAAACAGCAGACGACTATAAAGCAGCGTGCAGGAGGTTCTGTGTTCAGAGCTGTTGGCCATTACACTGTCCGTTAGACGACTGTGCAGAACGGGAGAGAAATAGAGGAAGTAAAACACACACACACACACACACACACACACACTCCAGCTCAGACTGCATGTTTATTATGTTCATTAGCATCGCCCCAGATAGACGACAGTGAAAAATATTCCAAGAGAAATTCACAATCAATTCTGCAGACTCCAACACATTGTTGTCACCGTGTTGTGGCTTCATTTCGACTTCACTGAAACTGCAGTCATGTATTAATGCACTGCTGGAGAAGACTGTACTCTTCAACTGCTCTACTCTGTTTTCTTGTCTACCTTCACTGTAGCCTTTGGTTCCATTGATTTGTTGATACTCAGTGAGGATCAGGTTGGAGGAACATTTGTCTTTAGATTTTAAGGAACTGTTTCCAACTTCCTGTAAACTACATGCTGATGTGTGCCTGGGCTGTGTCACTGTGGCGCCTCAGTGGCTCATGTCCAATAGAAAAAAACACTTCCTGATAATAATGCAGGATGTGGAACATCAGATCTTGGACCAGTCTTTTTGGGTTTGTGACCACATTCTGACATAATACATTTTTGGCAAATCTGGAGACTTTTTTAAATGAGTTTTTCATCATGTTAATTATACTGTGTTGCAAATACACAGTGTCCAGATTAATGCGCAAAGGAATGTTTTATTCTATTTTGTGTGGTGTTTTTAATCATAATTTTAAAAAGAAAAATAATTAATTGAAAAAAACATTTTCATCAGTAATTTTTAATCAGTACACATTTCAGGCGACCCTCATTTAAATTCCAGGCTACAACACGAGTGGTCCTGACCCCAAGGTTGAAAAACACTGCTGTAAAGATGGTCCTGACAGCACTGCTCCTCCTCCTCCTCCTCCTCCTTCTCCACCCATGCCTTCAGAGCACTTGGTTTTATTTGGCTGTGAAGTTGAAGATGTTTCCAGGATGGAGAAAAATAAATCAAGGACAATCCAAGGACATACTGTCGTTATGGAAGATGTAAAGATGGTTGATTTCACAGTAGAGAACGCAGTTACGTGGAGATAATCCACGACTGCTGTTGGAGGCAGATAAAAGAAGGTGGAGCAGAAAAAGGTGTCGCTCACAAATAAACTGGAAGTGAATGCATTCTTTGTTCAAGACCTGCTGGTTCTCACTGCTGCCTGGCTCCATTAAATGATGGAGCTAGATAATTCACTAAATATGCGTCTCAGAAGGGAAGGTAGGGGGCGCTGTGAACAGTATTTTAATACCTTGTTCCAATAACATAGTAGTAAAATGGTACAACATTAATGCTCTGCAAGAACAACATGGTTGTATCACGGCCCACAGTGTTAAAGGGGCTAGTGCTCGTGTCGATTCCCAGTGTGGTTCAGATGTAGTTAACATGTCTACAAAACAAGTCAGGACTGTTGAACCAGGTTTACCCCGCCCTCACACGATGAATGCTGATTGGCTCCAGCTAGTGTGCAAAGTAAGAGTTGCATTACTGCCATCTACTGGGTGTACTGTATGTTTCACTCTTTTTTATTATTATTGCCCCAAAATCATCTGGATCACCTGTTTAAGAAAGAAAACACAAACACAAAGTAGTGTGCCTGCTTATAAGTGCACCACTATAGTAACCCCCGCAGGAAGTTCATTTGAATAATTACTAATTATCATTCTGTGTTAAAAAATTTCCTTCAAAAACTCATTACGAGCCGAGCGTAAAAAAAAAGTCAAAATTTTTGTCGCCGCCCGCTGGGTGCACAGTGTGTAGTGTGTTTGTGGAACGAGAGTGGGAACACTCCGAAATATTCATAATGTGGTTACCGTTCCATGAGAGTGGGCAGAAGTGAAGGTTTCAGCCGTGTGGACAGATGTACGTACCTGAGTAAAGCTGAACAGACGGCTTTCTCATCCCCGCAGAAATAAACAAACTACACAGCCACGTGAACAAACCTTTGTACAGTCAATGAAAGTGTTACATCACCGAGCGTGGAGCCTTCGCTTCAGGTAGGACTTGACCCAGTTGCCCTGATAATAACCTGTTTCTGTCTTGTTGCCTCACTCCCCTCCTTGACAATGAAGAGGATCTGACTAAATAATCAGGGACGGTCCACGCTCTCTCAGCCCTGTACGTACTTCACTACAGTTTGAACAGTTTCATCATCCAGGCTCTGTGTTGTTTTTAGACTCAATCATTCACGTACGGCTGCTGAACAACATGCTCCAGTTTCTCTCTGAACCAGCCAGTGACAGTACGCCGCATTCAAGGACTGCGTTACAGAAGGGAGTCAACATCTTTCATGAAGCCTGCTGCTCCTTATCTACCTTCGGCTGCTTCGCTCTGAAATGAAAAACATAGATCCTCTATCTTTTTCTACTCCCTGCAAACACCGCGTGCTGTGCAAGGGAAAATCCGTGTCATTTATTGTTTGGCTGTGCAGGTGTTTTCAGGTTTAGGCCTGGGACGAAAAAATGCAAATCAGATGAAATTATAATATAAAGCCATTAGAGAGTGTTTCTAGACACTAATGCCCAGCAGAGCTGTCTGCACGTGGGAATAATTTGGCTAATTTTACAGTTTTTTAGCAGTTAGTGTCCTTAACAGCCTTTAAAAGTGTTATATTATCAACTTTTCTAATAAAACTCTCTGTTTCTCCCTCTCTCTCTCACACACACACACACAAACACACACACTTGACGGCCTCTAATGAAAAGGCCCATCTGTTTGTTTTTCCTAATTACCAAACACTTGGCCTGTCAGAACATTAGCACAGCATGAATTCACCACATTTTTGAGAAACATAACTCTATTAGAAAAACTGTGCGCCTTAAAGGTTCCCCATCCTTCAAATAGCAGAGTCAATATGGCGCCTTATCAGGCGGATTCTGAAATCTGGCTGATAAGAGAAGTCTGGCTTCATACGGACCATAAACGCTGTAATCAGACTGTAAAAACCTGTGAATTTCACCGTCATCAGAGCAGTCGCTGCACTCTGATGGTGGTTACGGGTGACTTCTTTCTGAACAGTTCTTTTTATTTTTTTAAGCACAGTTGGAGAAGTTGAAGGGCATATTTATGTAAATCTGTAACTATTTTAAAGTTGAATTTGAACTACTGCCAAACTCACTTTTAGCGTTCTTCTTACACACTAGTACGAGTTATCTTTTGGTTTGTCGTGTCGTTTTACTTCGCATTTCCTTACCGCCCCACAAGGCGGCGTTGTCTGCTATCTGTTCAGGACTTTGTCTTGTCTGACATTTAGGTTCTTTGTGCTAACCTTTTGCTATTTGTCTGTCTTTTGGCTAGTGTTTACTGATTTTTAGAAATGGTTTCTTTTCACCTTTTTTGTCTAACCTTTTATTTTGATGTCATTTTGTTTTTTAAACTGATCTTGACAGCTTTCAACTATTTAGTGCTTTTATAGCTTCTTTTCATAGTTAACGGGTCATTGTTCTTTTCATCTAAATTTTACTTGTTTCACCAGTATCTTTCCAGACTTTTATTTTCTTAACTTTTTCTATGAAAACATCTAATTCTGCATGTAAAAAACTTAAAATTGTCCAGAATCTTATGATTTGCTTTTAATGGTAATAGATTTTCAACAAAGGCCTTTGTCATGCAGTAAACTAACTGTATTACAACACAGTGCGTTTGTAGGCAACTTAATGGTAGTATAACACACAGAGCACTTGGTCTTTGGGTATTTTTAAACAATGATATCATAAAGTAGAAATAATGTGGCCTGGAACTACAATCGTCAGTCTGTCCTCACTAAATCTAACTGTTCTGATTCAGTATTTTATGTTGCTCAACGCTGCACCATGTTCATCACATCGTTTCCCTGTGTCCTCCTCCTTTCACTGCCAAACCACAGCTGACTTACTGCTGGAAACGGCTTCATTGTTATTTACATAAACATGGCATGGTATTAACCTTGTCACCAAGTCTGCAGCTGGGAGCAAATAAGCATGTCGTCCAAAATGTCAAATAATTCATCCTAGAATTTGCCCTTCATGCATCATTGTCATTCTGGAAACCAAATGTACACAAGTATGCTGTGTATATGTCTGTCTGTCTCTCTGTCTGTCTGTCTGTCT